CGTAAGACCATTAGATTCTGTTTTTATCCTTTTAGTATCTGATGAATGCAGCTTTGAAATATCATGTTGAACATAAAACGTTATACATACTTATTTACCTACAAATTGTGGGTAAATAAATATAACGGCGTGGGTCAAAGGTCGTGGTCGGCTGGTACTTGAGGAAGTAAAGCCACATCTGAGGGCAGAAACTCGAAACAATTTACGATAAACTGTAGCAGGCACGCAAGGCCTTGACCCTTCTAACGAGCATAATTATTGTTAAGATGTAATTTCGCATGACCGTCTGCTAACAAGGTGAATTATGCGAGACTACGACAGTGTGCAGTTGTTCTCAATACCAATTGACGACTGACGTATGTTAGATTATAGCTAGATTAATTGCTAGAATATTAGTATAATAGAAAATATTAATACTAATGAGCCTAAGATAAACGAATTATATACTCATTTACTAGCTGTTACCTGTTACTGTGCAAAAATTTTAATTCCTTAATACAACTTCTTCCAAATTTTTTTTTAAGATAAAATATAGTCGGTGTCCAGTGTCCACTGTACTACGTGTAGGTGTAGTAAGTATGCCTGAAGATATAGAAATTCTCACCTGCGTTTTCGCCTACAAAAACTTTCATGCCCTATTACATCGACTTTCAGATTAGTTTTGCCGATAAAAGATTTCTGTTCTCGCAAATTTCAATAATACAGAAAAAAATAATTGCAACTTAAAATAAAACTCTGTAGATAGGTACTTCTAAATATTTTGCTCGTGGTGACACAACAAGCTAATATTCATGTCTTAAGGGAAAATACCGCCGCCCTTTAGTGGGAGGTTAATTATTGTAGTTAAAGTACACTTCACAATTGTTTTCTCATTGCTATATTAAATACTGTTTTGTAAAAACACATTAAGTACGACTTAGGATTTCCCAGCTAATTATATAATTTTCTCACTATTCCGCACAACTTCGTCTGCGGCATATAAGGATAGAAAGAGAAAGAATAAATTTTCCACGTTTTTGCAACATTTTACTTTGATGTTCAGTTCTTATTGGACGTACCAGAAAATAGCCTATAGTCCATATAGCTAGATTATATATATATATAGGTAGATGCTAGATATACTAAGATTTTTAAATTCTAACCAGTAGTTTCTGAAATTAGGCTTTAATGCTTTAATATAACGTTACTTCAATCTTTATTCATAATATAAATGAAGTATTTTTTGGAGAACTCAAATTGCTAATTCCATTTACTTATATAGGTATAGGGGAGATAAGACTTACTACAGGATATGTCTCAGTGCAATAAAAAACAGTGTGACGATACTTGTATTTATTTAAGGTACAGATGGCCAACTTGAAAAATTACCTCTACATACCCAAATATAACAGATTGTATATACAATATAATATCGCCTCTAATACATGTATACATTTTAATATATATACAAAATATGGACACTTCTCTGCAAATCCTTGTTTGCGATTGATTGAGACAACGAATATAAACTCTTAGGGGTCCATTATAGGATAGGTTTTTCATCAATCTTGAATTACAAATGATATTTGGAATGATGGAGAAAACTGATGTACTACACCCACAGTCATATCAGTTTTTCGTCACTTATATACTCATACATAAACATGGCAAAATTGACAGTAAAACCTATGGTATAATGGCCTCCTTACATTGTAAAAAAATTGTTCATTAGGATTTTTTTATCTCATCTTACAAGTTACAACTAAATTTGATTTACTACTTTATACAGTTTTTGACTGATAATCTAATATGTACACAAACATTATAGGTGTATAGACATTTCTGTCCACATTAATGAAAATACAGCACGTCGTTACTTGGTATAATTTATCACAAGTTTTTTAACTGTTGTTTTATTGATAATTAATGATTTTAATACAATATTTCAACAGTTTGATGACCCATGTGTATTTTCATAAATGATTGTACTACTTTTGAAAAGAGGTCATCCTTGTAAAGAATTAATACTTTTATGCAATCTCTTGATAATTTTGTGGCTTTTAATAGATTTACGCTAAAATTTATGTAACATAAAAGAAAACTAAAAGGTTTAGTTGCACAAAATTACTGAATCTATATATAATATTTTGCAAAGGATTCCTTTACGTCATTTAAGAAAGGTAATTTTAAAATTTTATTTTAGAAAAAACTGTAGAAAACAGCTAGTAGGACAAATGATAAAAACACTGAATAAGTATTAAACGTTTTACAGAAAACTTTTCATAACTACAATTTACTATTATTATTTATATATTACACTGTTTTTATTATAATATACACATTATTATTATTATTGTAGATGCTCACACTCCGCATACAAAAAATTGCAGTGAGGCATATAAGAAATCAAATAAAAACCACAGAAAATTATGGAAAATTGCGACATAATACTTAGCAAGGAAAAGCTCTTATGAAAGCATTAAAGTAAGTAATATATCACCATATCATACTCGTAACTCATAATACGGTTTTCATTGCTTATTTATATATCACAAAAATTTATAGATAAATGAAAACCTTATAATAATTTCATTATCTATACGCTAGTAGTACAGCTTAATTTTACATAGTCTACTTAATTCATAAAGATCGTAAAATAGTTTTATTTACTGCTAATAAATGAAAAACATTCAAAAAAAATTTATGCCGACTTGCAATACGATTTATCCTAAAGATAAATAAATAAATCAGTCACATTCATGTTGGTTTCCAATAAACTTAAATTAATAATAATTCTACATTTAAAGCTTCATTGATTTTAAACTCGTAGGGAATGTAGATTATATGTACATTATTTATTTACTCATAATTAATATAATTCTAAAAAAAATATCCTATAGATAGTAACGGATTCCAACAGAATAAAAAATATCCAAGGGTTTTTTAGTTTTTTATACAGGCATTTATAAGTTTATGCCGTGTAATAAACAATTGTATTACAGTTACAGTTTTTATATATTTGTATACCACTTTTTATAGAACTAACAAAATTCTAAGTATCAAATACAAAAGAAATAGATTTTAGAGTGTTGAATCATACAAATCTAAAATTCCATAGTTCTACTTGAACTCTTGTTTTCATATGTTACTAATATGTTTCAATTTTCTTCGCTTATTTATGCACAATTAAAGCGAGATCCAAAATTTTGCTCATACAACAAATTAAATAATGTTTTTATTAATAATAAGTATTAGCATGGACATATCACACAGCGCCATCTTGTGGCAAAGTAAGTAGTTTGTATTATGACACTAAACGCATGATAGTTATTAAATTTGTTTTCTATATACATGTTCAGAAAAAAAATTGCAACTAAAACAAGTAGACATCATCAATACAAATGTTTGTATAGTGCGGAAATCGATATAGTGCTTAAACCACTACACTCACAAAGACGTCAGAAGTTACGTTCCTTCAATGTGTATGATATTGTATGGTATAGTAGCAATGGTATAAAAACTGAAAAAACTTGGTAATAAGCTTAATATTTTTTAACATGATTTTTTATTATCAAAGCTGAATAAAATTATTGAAATATTTTAATAACCCCTCAATAATAAAAAATATAATAATTACGTGTCTAAGTAAAAAATGTGAGTAAATATTTAATACACATTTCTCTTATTCAGAAGTAATTATAACTTATAAGGCTTCGAATTTGATACCAAGGAAATCAAATAGTGCTATAAATCTTAATTCTTTAATTTATATAATTCTTGCATTGAGATCTATTTAATTCCTTAATTCCATATGCATATCTATACAATATAAGACTATTCAACATTAGTCATAGCCTCGCAAAAATAAAAACTTAAAAAATGAAATAGAAAATATTTTTATTAAACTATGTAGGTAAATGATTGAGATTTCTGTAAACAAAACCAGTCAATTGCCTCTGTATATACACATATATAAAAGAAAAATTTAGTAATTAAAATGTCAAATGAATAAGGATGGATAGACGTAATCTTACTTCTTGATTCTCTAGACTACACATAAACAATATCTTTTCTAAGCACGAAAATGATCACAATTGTAGGCAGGTTTAAATTATAGCCATATGTTTATACTATTACACGTCGGAGCTAGGAGACGATCAGATGAAGACTAGGCTTATCTTTCAAAGGGAGATTTATCTTCCATTTCTCAAACCATCGCTAGAAAACTTTATATGCGACGATATTATCAACATGTTAGAATCATTCATCTAATGGCAGATTGAGAAATGTAGAGACATCACTGATGTGTAACTAGGGCTGCCACCTTACATTATTCAAATAATTTTCACTTATATTATTTTTTCCATACAATGAACATAATATTTTGATAATTTAGTAAATATTGTCACAATTTTGGATATTATAGTTAAAATTAAGTAATATTAAAATATAACGATTACATTTGTAATTTCTATACACAGTACAAACTCCTCAATTTCACTACGAAAAAATTTTGTTGACAATGGAGTAAGAGATATATATATGAATTCAAATATGTTACACATGTAATAATGTGGATCTTCACCCATTGATCAAATAAATCTTAACTCTCGAATGAATGCATACGCACTCAAGCCTTGTCTAATTTCAACAGGCGGCAGCTCTAGTTAAGAGCACGACAGGAACACCGTTAATAGTTGCGTTTAAATGCAACTCTTTCACACCAATCTTTACGGATAAAGAGTGGTATGTAAAGGTAGAGAAAGAGAACGTGCGCACGCGCGTTGCCCGCCCGCTCGTGCATTCTTCAATCGTTTGTGCTTTCGCATTTTTATATTTAATTATCACCGTGAAACGGCAGAAATCGGATCGTACTGACAAAGACATAATTACATAGTTTTTTTTTTTTTTTATACTACTATGGTGGCAAACAAGCATACGGCCCATCTGATGGTAAATGGTTACCGTAGCCTATGGACGCCTGAAGCACCAGGGGTGTCACGTGCGCGTTGCCGTAGTTACTGATAATTTATACATTTTTGGAAAATAAAATCTGTGGAATATCAAAATTATTTTTTTATAATAAAAGTGTACAGTGTGTATGTTAAAACAATCACTCACGATTGCGCCGCTGGTGTTTCGCGTTAATTGGCACGCGTTCCTGATGGCACGTGAAACAACGTGTCATGTAAAAGCAGCTAATGGTAGTGTGAAAGCTTGCCCGGTCTTCTTGGCGGCGCTGTCTCGTACTCGTAATAGTTGGACTGCGGCCGCGTACCGCCCTCTTTACAGGAGCGCTGAGAGTGGTAACCACCCGACCCTACGCCTGTACGACGACTGTGTACAACAAACAAGTATGTTTAATACAAAGGTTAGTTGAAAAAGGTCATGATGCCCGTGGTGTTGTTCTTTTATGAAGGCGACTGTTGTCGCCTACCATAAGGTGGGCCGTCAACTTATTTGATATCACAGTAACATAAATCAAAACAAAATCAAGCAGGAAGCTATTTTAACTAGCCTAAAACCTAGTCATAAAACTGAACAACATTCTCAAAGAATAAAAGTAATAAGTCAAATAAAAGAAATACTTTTTAAAACAAACTGTGCGGTCGCCATCGAGGCAGTACGGAAATACATAATTTATTTAAAGATATTCCGCCCTGTCTCCTGTTGAGAGTGGTTCAATATAATGAGTATACCTACCTGTATTTATTTAGATATACTCTGACTCATCATATAATCATATAATCTGACTCTGAAAAATTTTAGCAGAGATAACTACAAAAACATGTTAGAAATATATAGAAACACAAGAAGTACATATGAGGGCGCAATTACAGCAATACAACCTCCAAATATCGTGATGTCGCAACAACAGTGTACAAAAGTAATCATGAATTAATACTTTTAAATCCATCCATCCTCAAACAAAACTCCCTCTTATATCAATTACCACAGATGAGAAAATATTACATAATGAGTGCTATTAGGTACTAATGCGAACTGCTAATGTTAATGGGTTAATAATTTTATAATGTTTGCATTTTGACTGTATTTTATAAAACTACTCAAAAACATTGAAATGACCTAGGTAGTGTAACTACAAATATATAAACTATAACTACTTAAAAAATATAGCTACTTTTTGTGAAATAAAATATGTAGGGCTACTTCATCACAATAACATCTCTAAATAAACAATACAATCATCGAAATAACTGAGCATAATTACAAAGCACATGCATCTTACCGACATTATGTGACGGTCATGGACAAGCAGGAAAAACAAAACCTTATTATCTTTAATCATGGATTACGTTTAATTGCACGTTATGACTTTATGGTCTCAATTAGGAATTATGTGTAGGATTTCATTTAATACTGATTAATTTATCTATAAAGGCCTGTTGTTAAAGGGGACAGCTGTTAATAGCCTAAATACCAACGAATAATTCAATTTTTATGTCACTGATATAAATAATATTGTTGCCAATGTTATACACACTATCTATACCTACTCTAACGTAACTATTCTAGTAAGTATTTGCTCAGTGTACCAAGCAATCACAATTATTCCAAAAGCATTTACTATGTATATGTTCCTCTAACCCACCTTGTCGTATATTATAGGAGAATTTGGTCTGAATTAAGAAGATTCACTATTTTATTCTTATTTTTAGTAAAATTGATTAGCAAAATGACACAATTTAGAAAAACGAATCCTAATCGTCGCATCCTATCTTAAAACTGATTTAGACAACACGAAAAAAAAATAGAAGAATATAAAAAGAATTTGTGCATACCATTATTTAATTATGAATTCTCTGAACATGTTAAATTATAGTATTTCTATACTAAATATCAAGGATAAAACAATTGATGTAAATCCTTGATGTGTAAAAGCCACGTTTCAATCCAGAGCAATATTTGAATGAGTGATATTATGAGACTATATATTATATTATCATTTCATACTATGGCAAGGAATATCGTAACTGAACACAACATATGTAGCAGACAGTCGTAGTCGGCCTAAAAAGGTAGTGATGTCTGATACTCGCGGCAACAATGTAAACGCTCTGACCTCGCGTCTAATGAGGTACTTAGACGTTATATCGGTAGCATCTATCTTATTTTTATTAAAAACATTTCTCATTTACCTAACGTGAAAATTTTCCTTGTAATGTAGGTATTAGCTATTAATATGTATTTTCCGACTGTAATTAACTTTTTTACAAAATGAGTACCTACATTCAATTATTTGTCTGTCTCTGAAGAATTAATTACTTAAGAAAAATAACAAGTAAGTCAATTGTAATGGAGAACATTAAAAAAAGATTTTTATATTATAAAATATTCACCTCTCTTCGACAGCTTTCTCCCTTTGCGCACGCACCTGCCGCCGCATTTGGCCGATCTGTACTTCGCTCAATTTCTCACGTCGTGCGCTACAGTCAAGAACAGACAATTTATATTAATTAACTTTTGAAAAACTTGCTCGTATCCTGGTATAAGGAATTCTAAAAACATAAGACTACAAAATCTCAGATGCAGTTTGATTTTATTAAAATGTATCGTTTATTGATAAACTTGTCATTACATACACGTACTAACAACGTAATTCGTATTAAAAAATTCTTATATAGGTAAGTATGGAGTGGCAAAGCTACGATCACAAACTTTCGAAAACGTCAATCACCGTATTTTAACACAAACAGCACCAATTGTAAGTAAAAAAAATAAGAAAAGGTTTATGCAATATTTAGGGGAAATATTAACATTAAACTTCCACTTAGTAGTTGAATTTTGAAATAAAACCTTTTAATTATAATATCTATTATTTCAATAATAACTGTCTAGTCACTTCTACAAATTTATCTATTCTATTTTATACTTAATCATGAATATCTACACTTACTTGAGATTTTGTTGTATTTCATCATAATTGACGTAATGGCCAGTGGGACCCCAAGCGCTGTCCATTGCCTGCAAAATAATATAACGTACAAATCCTTGCAATCTGTTTAAATCATAATTGGAATAAACAAGGGCACCAACCCGTCGTACGAGTAAGATAAAATTGGGACCGTCAGTTAATGGGCCATAACCTGCGTTATGGGCATCGTAACACTACAAATAGAATGTTCCCAATACTGTGAGGTTTGCGGCTATTTTTATGTTCTAATGAAACAATAAATTAGACTCATGATAATTTAATACGAGGTTCTGTGGGAAGGTACGGGTTTTGTGGAATGCAGATTGGAAATCGATAACCGACTAGAAAAATTATCACAAAACTTTGACGAATTTAGACTTAGAAATCCGAAAACCTCAGGTATAAATTTAGTAGTTAAGATTGTAGAATATTCATCATTGTTAAAAGTTTTTAGAATGTATCCAAATAATGCAACTCCGAATTTCATACACGTTATTCTCACCTATTCAGCTAAAACTCTTAACATTAGTGGCAATCCAATAATAGGAAGAAAGTTTAGGCTTAGGAAGATGACAATTTATATGATAATTTTGTACCGCTTTAATATAGTAATTTCTGGTCTACACTACATAACCTTTGTTTGACGACCTCGGTGGTCTAGCGGTCTAGCATACTGCTTTACGACCGATGGTCGCGGGTTCGATTCCTCGCACGGCACAAACATTTGTATTCATGAGTATGATTGTTTGTATCGGTCTGGGTATTTTCTATGTATAATATGTATGTATTTACGAAAAAAAAATATCTATGTATTTGTATCTGTTGTCTAGGACCCAAAACACAAGCTTTTGCTAGCTTAACTTGGGTCTAGATGGCGCTGTGTGAATTGTTCTGAGATTATTATTATTATTCAGTGACAATTAAATATAATTAAATATAATATCAATATTTAGTGACAGAGCTTATAATATATAAGAACTTTGTATTTCAATTTTACTGCTTATATATCATACTCTACTTAAATCTTCAGCTTGCAAAGCAAATCGCATGCGGCTAAAGTAACAACTTTTACTTCAACCGCATGCGATTTGCTTGGCTGTAAGCTAAGAAAGGTTATGTTCCATAAAAGCACACTATTTGCTATTTTTTTAAATAAATTTCGAACTGACCGCCGCGCCGTGCGACGCCAGTCAGAAGCAGCGCGCAGATTTAAAAAAGTAAAATGGCGGGAAAACTAAAGTGTGCATTACAGTTTTATGGTTGAGTTTATTTAAAATCAAGTGTGTTGAAAAACATTGTACGATACACGTGCGTATTAAACACATTCAGCACTATTACGCCGTCGTCTTCTGCTTGTCCTGAAATTATCTGTCGTGTGCTATAACCATCATAACGTACTTATATCGTTATATAATAATAATAATATCTCAGGATAATTCACACAACACCCAAGTTAAACAGAGCTTGGGTCATGGGTACTAGACAACAATACATAATAAACACCCAGACCGATACAAACAATCATACTCATGAATGCAAACGTTTGCGCCGTGCGGGGAATCGAGCCTGCGACCACCGGAAGTAAAGCGGTTAAACCTTTTCGTCATCGGTGTTTCCTTTAGATAGATAGTTAGAAATATAAGTTACACAGAAAGTATTTTAAATATATATAAATATGGCTGGCTGGCTGTTGCATGCGACTTCGTCTGCGTTTCCGTCGTTTTTTGTAAAATAAGTAGCCTACGTCCTTCCTCACGGTTCCGTAGTTTCGATGTGTTTTCCTAACATTTCCCTTCACTGCTCTGCTCCTATTGATCGTAGCGCGATGAAACGTATACTATAACCTGCCCAGAAGTATGAAGAATAATTGTATCAAGTTTCGTTAAAATCCGTCGAGTAGTTTTCGTTTCTATAACGAACATACAGACAGACAGACAGACAAAAATTTTACTGGTTGCATTTTTGGCATGAGTATCGACCACTAATCACCCCCTGATATATATTTCGTGTACAGAATTGACCTCTGTACATATTCTATGTATTATAAGTATAGATGTATAGGTAGCGTGTATAGATATATACGTTGTGTTGGTTGTGCGCGGTGCGTGCGGGCGGGGCGCGGTAGGGCGGCGCGCGGCCGCGGTCGCCGCTCTGCCGCGAGGGCGCCGCCTCCACGCCGCCGGCGACCCTGTCCGTGTCGACGCGCACACATAATATATTATATACACTGATAAAGCTTTCACGACACTCCTCATTCTAATTTGTAATTGTATATTACTTCCAAACATATTTATTATTTACTTATTATCAGGCTTACTGTTATCTGTGGTACTACAGATTTCTTATAGTTAATTTTAATACGTAATTATGATCTATCATCATACATTGTCGATGTCGCCGTTATTCTTTTTTGCAAATCTTTGGAATGATAGTTATCGTATTGCTCATGTTTTTGTTTGAGTATATAATCTTCTTACAGTCGTTTCCATTAATATATATTTATAATAATCTTTCATTTAGTACTCGCTCAGTTAAACTACTGAATATTAATTAAAGTTCTATTTTTCTAAAAGCACTATGTAAACAATACCTGATCATTTAGAAAAAGTGTTTTTGACAATTGACACTAATATAATATTAGATAATTAATTCATACGTTGCGAGTATTTCTAAAGTACGCATATAAATTAATTAATTAAGAATGATTTATACCTGTCGTCCTCTATTCGGTCGATGCGTTCGGCGCGGTGTCGTTCCCGGTCGAGTGCGTCGCGCGACAGCGACTTCTCGGACGCGCGACCCGGCGTCGCTCGCCCGTATATCTCCGGCTCTTGCTTGTGAGGCTTGCCGATTCTAGTACAGTAACATTCAATCATTTTAATTTGATATTTACATAATTTTAATTGGAAATATTTTTTTATCATGAGGTTTGGACTAATACGCAGTGCTACTGATACCTAAAACCTCTATAGATTTGCTCGCACTTTTTTAAAGTTAGCTGCTTAGGCATATTTACAATATGTTTCTTTTAAGATTACGAATGATATGATTGTAATACGCTGATAAAAATCAATTATATAACATAATAATAATGTTAAAAAGTGTTACAATTGATTTTGTATTAAGGTTACAATGTACTATCATTACATTAAATTTTTACCTGAACATAGTGGATAAAGCCTTAAGTAGAGAGGGTTTCTTTGTTGAAAGTGATGACTGTTGTGGTGATCCTCTAACGATTCCATCGGGACCTGTGTTGTCGTCTGTTAGCCAATGTTTTAACGCTGTAAAAAAAACAGAAGAGTTATTTTATTTGAAAATTTTTAAACTCAATTTGAACGATATGTTTTGGATGAAGAGTGAGATATATCTGTAAAATCAGAGTGTATTGGTACGCCATCTGAGTCCTTTGGAATGTCAACGCTTGAATTGTTCGCGTGATGGGTATCATCTACCCACTCTATGGTTATGTAGTTATAGTACTATGTGATGAGGAGTCGCTAATTAACTTATTTGTTCCCTGAAATATACTGCCAATTATAATTTTATTTCATGCCTCATAGGATTACAAGTACAGCTAACGCTTAACGCAGAGTCTTAATGCGGACTGATTTTAAACTAAAGTTAATTCAAAGTTGCGGGGAAATAAATTGTTACTAGCTTGCTATCAGTTACACAAGAAGAATGAGAAAATAAAAATACTTACGTGGGTGTGCTCTTGCATATATAGGTTCATTCCGCGGGTGTCTTTTGTTCTCTTGTATGGCTGTTTGTAGTGATTCCAGACTTGATGACTTTCGCATGCCCAGTGATGGACCAACTTGTAGTGCTAAAATGATCGATTAAAAAGTTATATTACAAATTCATGAACGATCAATTCATTAAGTTAAACTACACTTTATATAGCTTTAAGAATTACTATTTTGTTTTCGATACCAACATTATTATTCGAAATATACCAGTATCTAACTAGGAAAGCCCATAAACAAGGAAAAACAAGGCGCTTTTCTGTTTAGATTGTTGTGCTTTTATTTCTGTAGGGAATCTATTTACGGTGTTATTCATAAAACTTAAGAAGCCTTTATAAGCCCACTATAACAGAGCTATAAAGGCTTTATAAAAATCTCTATTTATAAACGCTCTATAAAGCTCTTATAACTGTTCATTAGCAATCAGTTCTATAAACCCTCTATAAACCTATGATAAACCTCTGATAGTGAAAAACGTTATTCATAAACGCTCTATAGCGGTCCGATAAAGTTAAAACGTCAAATAGCGAGCCTATAAAGTTAACAGAGCCAACTCCCTACTTTAGCGGCATTTTAACCTAAAAATTGTGAAATAATTATTCCGTTAATTAATAAAATGGAAGCAATTACGACTATTTCTACAATTAATTTAATTGATATGTCAAGAAATCGTCAAAAAAAAACATTTAAAAAAAGTCAATCCATTTCTTTTACCAGATAAGTGCTTTAAATATAAATACCGATTCAATAAAAGTACTGCTCGATATATAATTTCCTTGGTGTACGATCAACTAAAACAAGATCCCAGAGGTGGTGCCGTTTCTCCAGAGTTGCAAGTATTAACTGCTTTGAGGTGTTGGGGACGAAGAGAGGTAAGTTTTTTTACAATACATTCATCAATCATATATTTATATATATATATATATATAGGATAATGTAAGTTTTCATACAATTCAAACTCATAATTAATCTTGATATCTTTCATTTCATAGGTTCAGGATGATTGTGCTGATCTTCATGGACTCAGTCAACCCACAGTTAGTAGGATATGTAGTAGGGTGGCAAAGGCAATTGCTCAGCTTGCTTCCACTTTTATAAAAATGCCAGAAACTGTCACAGAGGAACGGTCTTGTATGACAAATTTTGAAAGTCTGGCTGGTTTTCCAGGGGTTACAGGGGCTATAGACTGTACCCATATTAAAATTAAAAAAACAGGTGGTGATGCAGCCCAATATTACATAAATAGAAAAGGATATTATTCTTTGAATGTGCAGGTGATAAAATTATGTATTATGTGTAAAACATATCTATATTGTTTGATTAACTAATTATCATTACATAGTATAAAACAAAGTCACATTAAAACTATACAATGCATGTTGAAGGGGGGTTATAATAGATTCAAGAGGAAGGTTTATATATATATATATGTACTAGTAATGTATAAAGTACTTAATTATTTTGATTTTAGGTTGTCTGTGATGCAAAACTTGTAATAAGAGATGTTGTAGCAAGATGGAGGGGCAGTACTCATGACAGTAGAATATTTACTGAGTCAATTATAAAAGAAAGGTTTAATAATGGTCACTTTAGAGGACGTTTACTCGGTGACTCAGGGTATCCACTTCTGCCCTACCTTTTTACACCAATTTTGCATCCTGTATGTAGAAAGGAAGAAAGGTATAACTCTGCCCATATCAAAACACGGAATAGTGTGGAAAGATGTTTTGGAGTGTGGAAACAGAGATTCCAATGTTTACTACATGGATTAAGTGTATCGCTGGAAAATGGAAAGGCAGTTATAGTGGCTTTAGCTGTGCTCCACAATATCGCTATTAGTAGGAATGACGATATATTAGGTAATTCTTTTAATGAAACACTACTTTATTTTTTCAATATTATTTAATAAACACAATTTTTACAAAAAATTTACTATACAAGTTTCTGTACAAACACTAATTTGTTTACTATGAAATGATTATCAACTTCAGTGCATTCATAATTTGCACTGTTACACAATTATTACAACTAGCGGTTGCCTGTGACTTCATATGAAAATGTATTTTTGTAAAAATCTTCCAGAATTAATTATTTTTGAAGCCTCACAGGTCTGCTATGAATATGTAACTTTCAAACTATTTATCCAGATTATGTGTAAAGGACAAAGTTTTAATGTAGTTTATACATTGTTGTTATTTATATCTTCTGATATATGATGCAGTCACAGTCATCCATTGAATATAGTTATACAGACATGTTTCTAATCCTTGTTGTTTAAGCTGTGTTTTGATAAGTAGCAATACATTATATTTTTCAATAAATTATGGGCCTGTAAAGTAATAATATTATTAATTTCAGAATATGAGAATCTTGAAGAGGTTACCATTCAATCACAACATCAAATTGATGAAGGAATGGGCAATGGTGCTGTAAGAAGACACTCTCGATATATTTTGGATACATTTATACAAAATAATTTTTAATAAAATAAATTATGTTAATTTACTTTGTTTACTATATTTTATATTTAACTTGTTACAAGTTGTCTACATACTTGGATTGTTTTTCTTTCTATAAAATATCAATTTTTGTTGTAGAATTTCATACTCCAAGTCTAAATTTCTTGCTTTCTTTCTTTCATTATCCATTTGTATATTATGTAATTCATTTTTGTTCTTGATCTCTGTATCAGCTATTTTTTGTATATAATTGTTTGTATTTGTGAGCTGTATAATAAAAAAAAAAACAATTATTTAATTATAAAAAATATTTGTATTTTATTGTGTATAAATTTATTTGGGTACCTTTCTTTTTTTATTACATTTCTTTCCTTCATTTGAAATATATTCTTTGGTGCTGCCACTTTGAGACTACAAAAGAAATAACAACATTTATATATATTAAACACCATATTATACCAACCAATTTAATAAATCATATCAAACATCTCTTTATAATCTTTGGTCCCAGTCATTTAGCACACAAAATATATTTAAAAGTTCTATATTACTTACATTTTCAATAATTTCATCAAGATCCAAAATAATTTCTGGCATCTCCGGTGCTTTTTCATTCAGTTTTGGTTCTCTAGGTTTGTCTGGAATCTTTTAATTACAACATGTACATTTATAAAAATAATATATATATGTTATATAATATACATTATGCTGAGTTCATTGATGTCATGATATAATAGATACTACATATTATATATTACTTGTACAGCGCTTACAGGTACATCTATTTCATTTATCTGAAATATGAACACAATGATTAATGAACCTACACTTACTACCTTTACTTTTTATATTATATGTAATGAAAAAATAAAAAATAGGTTACATGATCATCTGGAATTCCTGTTTTAGCGTCAGAGTCATATAGATTGGTGTCCACGTAAAACTCCTGCGGTAACCATGCCAATATGTCTGTACTGTCCACTGGAACAGTCACAGTAGGTGGTCCTCCACCAGTTTTATTCAGAGATCGCCTCTGGTCTGCTAAATTTTTCTTTTTACATATTTTGATGACTCCCCACTGAGATTTTATTTGTTGCAATGTGCGTCTGCTACCTTTGCACATTGCATTAAAACTGAAAAATATATTGAAGTGTAAGTACATGAGCAATAACAATTCACATATAAAATTATACTAAGCATGCAAGTTACTCTAATCTACGGGCTAGCTTCTACAAATAATAAATAACCTATCCATAACTTCCAGCCATCCTTTCTTTTTACAGTTGTTGGTATTCGTATCCGTATTCTTATTTTCTAGTACGGCGACACGTTCGCGGATCAATTCCAACAATAAATTCTATCAAAAATAAGGTATGCATTAAATGAATGTAATAAAAAGTTAAAACAAGTGAAATTCAAAGTCGTACATAAAAAATAATTTACTTGATCCAAAACTGGACAAATTAACAAATATTGATAAGTAAACACAATCTTACCTTGTCGTCTTCCAACCAATTTTCGCTTCGTGCTCTCTTTTGTTTATCCATTTTAAAATTTACTAGACAATGAAATCCGTAATATGTAATCAATCCGTTAATTCTAATTCTAACGTAACTATATTAAACCAATCGTAAATTATAACATGCAATTTTAAATAAAACAATCGTTTTGACAGAACCAGTGTTGCCAACGATGTTTTATTGAATCCACTATATAGCAAAGAAACCTCGAGTTTTACAAAATATTTAAATCAATATTAATGAATTAATAAAACTACTTGAAACCATTATATTAAAAATTTGCATAAAAATACATGCATATTTAAACCAAAAATCATTGTAATATTTAAAAACTATGTAGAAATACTTCTATCTTCCCTTAACTTTATTAAATAGAAATACAATTACAATAAAAAAATACAATTTTATATATATTCAATAGGAAAATGTATAAAAATGTATTAATTTACATAATTTGTTCAATACTGGAGGAGTTAATTCTGCTAGATTTAGTGGTGAAGCAACTAAAATAGCAACACTGATTACGTCACCTGCGTATATGGTAAAACAGTCCAACGTCAAGATTGCAACATAATGATAAAAACAGTCCTATAAACCTCTATTAGTTAGCGAGGCTTTATAATAGGTTTATGAATAACGCACTTCTATAAACCTTCAATAGCGCTAATGAATGTTTTAACTAATGAGCTCTATAAACCTTCAATAAGTTTTTTTATGAATAAGACCGTTAAATTTTTTACAGGGCACATAAATTAACTATACCTATTTTTTTATTGGGTTGTTTGGGCTATTGTCAGGTGACTGTAGCAGCTGTAGCACTGCGACCTACATAGATCTATTGTGCTCGCTCTTTTTCAGAGTCCGCTGCCTAGACCCGTCAGGGACAAGAATTGAAGGATATTCTTAGGAGCGATGGTTTTTATCTCCTCGGGAAAGAGGTAAACTTTCCAAAGGAGATATTTCTTTTATGCATGAGTGGGCTACAACCACATAGGATATGTAGACTGCAAATTTTGTAACTGTACCTAATTAACTCGTTCGTTTTACCGCCCGCATATACTTATCTATACGATCCATAAGTCTAATGAGAGCGAGTTAGGGACTGTAGTACCGAGAAGGCGCGGCGTCGGTCAGGAAGACTCGCTGCATTAAGCCGCAGTAGCGAGATGTTAGGTATACTCACAGTTGATGGCCTTGATCTCCTTGATCTTCTTGTAGGTGCCGGTCTGCTTGGCGTCGAGCGCGGCGTGCCGCTTCTCGGACATGGAGCGGCGGCCGACCGCGTCGCGGCTGAAGGCGTCTCCCGCGCCGCTCTCGCTGCCTGACTCGCCGCCCGTGCCCGCTCTGTGCGGACGGGACCTTATATAACTTATATATACCTATTATAATTGTATTTCAACACACTTGCTCGTAAAGTGGACCTAATTTCTCCGGTTTTTTATATATAAATTAGCCCATAAAACACGCTATTATCTACAAAATCGAGATGACCGCCGACAGGCTGCGCGATGATTAAAGCGGGAAAGTGCCAATATGAATAAAACATAATATTATGATTTTTTATTGTTTCCTCGTAAGTATGTTGAAAAACGTCGCACGATACATGTGCGTATTTACTACACACGGCTCTATTACGCCCTTGTCTTCGGCTCGGGCAGAAATTATGCCTCGTGTATTATAACCATCATAACTTATATCGTAACAAACTATAATGATATTTTTTTTAATACACACATGTGTATGTACACAAAAAAATTTTGATATATATATGAAAATAATTACTTCAAAAAACCGTGCAAATTACTTCTTACTTACAAAATCTTAGATGAAAACGTCTGTCTTTTGACAGACGTTTTCAATCGTTAATAATCGTTAGTCGATAAACAATAATTATATTTAAAAAGTCGTTACCTATTGGTCGGGTAGTCCTCCTCAAGGATGACGTTGTGATGGGCAGGAGGCGACCGCGCCACGTGACCGGTGGCTATGTAGTAACTCTCGTTTCGGAGGCCGGTCAACTGGTCGATCACTGGGTTCCACCTGTCCAGTCGACTCCACTCGAAACTATCCCTTTTAGTATCATGTGGAACGTTATTTCTGTCCCTCTCTAAATAACCCTTACTGTCGTCCGACTGATTCGACACCCAACTGGTGTTATTATTTATGGTCACAATAGTCGCGTGCTTGCCAGTTCTGCCGTCGTGATTGTCGTGACCTTCTTTATGGTCATACTTCTGATTATAGTCTATGCTTCTGTTCTCCTTTTCGGTGCTCGAGTTGTAGATGACTGTGTTGAAGTTTTGTGAACTGTTGTCGATAGAGTTATTTGATTCGTTCCCGTTAGGCGGCGTGTCGTCTTTCCACCTAGCCAGGCTATCCATACTATCTGTTGGTTACATAACAGTATATATTTTAAAATATTATATAATTCATATTATTCAATGTTTAAAAAGGATCAGGGAAACTATCATAAAATCTAGTCCAGTATTTTCACAGTATTTCTGTGTATTTGACCTAGTTTTTTTACTATTTAGACAAATGGTAAATTTTATGCATAGAATTTACAAACGAACTCTAAATCGTTACTTGTAGCAAATAACTTTAGAGCAGTAAATATAAATTATATATTTACTGCTCCAATTAGACAGTGATTGCCTTCAGAAAGTATTAAAAATGGACGATGGATGTTGTTTTCGCGGCAAGGATGCCTATGGATATAAGAATATCTCTCAATTTCTAACAACCTTTTTCCCAGAAATCGTTCAAAGCTCAAGTTCAAATTACTAGCCCTGGTAATTTTAGCTACTCATTGTGTCTGTACGTCGTTCAGGCTATATAATTGATTAAAATTGAACATATAATATATTACCAGTCCGCCTGGCGATGGTAAGCGAGATGTTGCCGTGTACGTGCGGGCGCGCATGCAACAAGGCGCGGCGTAGAGTTTCCATCGCCTCCGCGTTAGACTGCCCCACCAGCGTCACCCCATTGACGCTCAGCAACTGGTCGTTAGTGTGAAGTCTGTGATGACATTTTATTGTCATTAATGATCAGTGACGGCAGGCAACAGACATTATTACAGCACCATTTTTATTAGATTAGTTGATTGTTGATAATTTTTAAGCCCGCACCAGATTTAGTATCTAGGACAAAGTTGATTACAAAGTCCTTTTGAATCATGTGTCCAAACGGAAGTAGCGAGTTGTTTACGTTTATATATGACATTTTCCATTTTCGATCAAATGAGTCGTCACTTTGGTGTCTATACATTAGTATAGACACCAAAGTGACTAGCTTAAATATCAGTTAAGAAATTAAATTCTGTCAGACTTGGAATACATTAGGAAAGTTTATTTTCTAAGTAGATTCAGCGCTTGTGGACGGTATAAATTACATAAATTTGAAATCTGAATACTACATACAGATATTTCTTTTCATAGTAAGTGATAAAACGCTAGGAAATTAGTAAAGTAACGGTAGGTGTAGCATAAAAAGTTTGTAAAACTAACCAATTTTGTAAAGATAAATAATTTTAGTAGCAAATGTTCAATTATATTAGACTTACCTTCCATCTCGGGATGCAGCACCACCATGCAGCACGGACTTGATGAAGATTCCTAGGTCTTGGGGATCATTCCCAACGGTCACCTTCCCTTTCACACTGATGCCTAGTCCAGCTTTTTCAGAATCGTGAACTGGAATGTCTAATCTGAGGATCAGACGGTTTCGTAGTCCTAATATCTGAAATTGTTAATGAATATGTGAATGAATATGTAATTTTACTATAGTTTTTAACATCCCAATGGTTGAAATAGTAGATTGAACAAAATATGGCATAATTATATATTTTTTTATCACTATATGTAATTAAGCATACGGCTCATATGATGGTATATAGTGACCATTGCTTATAGACGTCTGAAACACTAAGGGTGTCACGTATGCGCTGTCGATCCCTAAGAAACATTAATATACCCATCTTGAAAAACCCTATGCTGTGGCTTTAAAGAAAACATTGGCAGTTCAAAATTGGTTGTTTAGCACTTTCGTTTGTCGCTGGTTGAATTCCTCGCGGGATTCAAATATTTGTATTCATGGTATGATTATTTTTATTAGTTGGCTGATTTCCATGTTTTAAAAATGTTATTATGTTACTCAGCTTGGTACTAGATCACGCTGTGTTAGGTGTCCTGGGTTATTTATTATTATATGATTTAAAGAAGAAATTCGCCATACGCCAAATTGAATTTCTATAAAGTGGCCTTTAATATTATAACATATACTTACAGAATTAGTGGAAGAATTTAATGCATCCTGTAACGCGACGTCACCGTTCTGCTCTCTCAGGATGTCGTCTTTGGAGGAACTTTTTGGTATCCTGCCTCGCATCGAGTTGTTGTTCTGGTTGATAGCATTCACAATACTGGACACTCGACCATTCTCCATGCCAACCTCTTTTGATATACTGTTCGGAGAACCGATTGCTTTTTCTGTGTATTTCGTGGGACTTTGCTGTTCCACCTTCTGTAGGAAATCAGTCTCTGTATTAAAAACTTTAACCCTATTATTTTTAAGGTAACATTGTTAAAGTGAGATGAGTTATTTAAGTAGTTAGTTATCCAACGATAAGTAAATTACATAAAGATTCATAAGACACATATTATAATACAAGTAAAATGACATAATAAATTTCAATACAGTAAAAAACAAAATGAAATGATTAATGTATATTACAATGGGAAATTTCAGTAAATTACACTATAGTTTGACAGATTAAAAAAAATACAGCTTTGAAAATAAAAAATTGTCCACAGCCATAAAATTGATAGATACAGTACCCATATAATAAACAACATTGATATTGATAATACTGATCATAAACATAGTATTTCGATTGACAGCTAGAACATTTCGGAATGAGCACTGGCTATCGATCGAATCCTATTTAAATTTAATCCAAATTGAATAGGGATTAAGTAATATACTACAGTGCTATCAGCTTAGTATGCCCTGTCTGACTGCCCCTGTATTTACTTAATAAATCCTAAATGGGTGTAGCGCGAGAGTTTGTTTACAATGTATGTGTAGTACCTGGGAGTGCGGGTGCGGCCTGGCGAGCGCGCGCTCCACCACGATGTCGACGGTGGAGTCCGCGGGCGTGCCCCGCAGCAGCGCCACCACCTGCTGCTGCGAGCGACCCGCCACGCTGCTGCCGCCCACCGCTACCAGGCGGTCGCCCGCACGCAGCCGTCCGTCACACACCGCCGCGCCCTGTAATACCCGCCGTGTCATATACCGCTACTAGCTACTCGCCCCGACCTCGCACGGGTGTACATCTATATATATAAACCTTCCTCTACAATCACTCTATATATTAAAAAAAAACCGCTTCAAAATCCGTTGCGTAGTTTTAAAGATTTAAAAAAACATAGGGACAGACAGCGACTTTATTTTATACTATGTAATGATGTCCTTTATCAAGGAGCACTACTGGCCTAACACACACACGAACTATATATGTTAATATATTATTATTATATATGAATGTTAGTGTATAAGATATTTATAGTATAGGTCATTAGTAGCCTGAATTAAATAAAATACTACTGGCACAAGGGAGTATATTAACGGTGTAGTGAAAGACTGCCGTAACAGTGGCGTAACCAAATATTTATGTGTTTGTAAGGTATATATTATATGAGCTCTCATGCGACTCGAAATAAATAAATATACTCCTCGCTGCTCAGCTGACAGCCCATCTGCTGGTAAGCGGTAAGCGTCTCCTATATACATGAACAACACTAAGGACTCCAGAGGACTATGATAACATATCTCTTATCCTGTAATTTCACTATCTAATTTCACCATGCAACCGAAAGATGATTTTAGTCTACCTCTGGTAAATTACTAAGCCATTATCATTTTTTAAGAGTAAAATTAATGCCTGGTGAATAATGTTTTTGTTTCTAAGCTATACCCTAGTATAGGTTAAGAAATTGAATAATAATGTGAAAAAAAATATCGAACTGGAATGCCAATAAAGCTGCAAAGTCTACCATGTAAAAATATAAATATTCATTAAGAAAAAGTACAATCATCGTCACATTTGTTACCTTGGGCAGTATGGTCTTAATATAAATGGGACAATGTCCGCCGGTGGGGTTGTCCCTGGTGGTGATGGTGAACCCGAGCCCCTTCTCGCCCTTGACCAGTGAGACGGCGATCCTCTCTGTGGCGGCGGACGGCTGCGAGCCGCCGTCCGGGACCTCCGGGCCGGACACCGCGCGCTCGCTGCTGCCTACTGCAATTATATAATTACTATCTTATAATTGTCTGCATCACACTTGATATTTAATATTACATTTCGCCCAATTTACACATTCACCTTAAATATTCCGCATTTACTTCTAACATAGTGGTTAGTTAATAGAATAATTTTACGTTTGTTACCTCGAAAAAATAACGAACATAATGATTTTCTTGCCCTATTCTCCTTGGTATTAACTAGGTAATAATAGTTAAAACGTGCAAAAAATAGTGTAACTGAATAAACCTTCAGGTAAGAGATCAAGTGGACGCTCCTGTACAGGATGCACGCTGGCGATGTTGTTAACTCCTGACACCCATCTCACCATATCCTCCACCCTGTAAACAGCATCCATATAAATTTGGAGATGTAATAAAAAAGTGCTTGTTTATCTTCATACGTATTCAGAATTAAATATATTATTATTTATAACATACTTATATTACAAAAAGCAACAAAAGAAAATATAACAAAAAAGAAAAATAGTTTCACATGAGAAAATAATAATGTAATTTTTACGTGTGCCACAAGTCAGATAGAGTGATGTTTTACGGCACTTTTATTTCTAAAAACCCTGATGTGTTGCCATACCGGAGGACTAATACTTCAATGTAACCTTGTAATTTCAATACATTATCTTTCAGTTAAAATACTTTTTACAAATGAAGTTGATTGGTGGCTGAAATATATGAAATAAAGGCACCGAAGCAAACGACTTTGTTCAAAGTTTAATTGGGTTGAATGTGGATGAATACAGTGCAGTTATGTTAGCGAACCTGTGATTTTGGTGAGCGTTCGCTGGAGTATCCTGCCCCAGGGGATCCTTGCGGGCATCCCGCGGTAGACTTTTGCTGCCGTAACTTTGTATCCGTTCCGCTGCATCTAGCCATACACCACTCCTGTAAATAGGAAATATAGGGGATTGTTACTTATGTGGACTAATGACCCCAATGTCAGGTTGAACTCCACGCGGCTCCCTTGGAAAACATGGTAATAAATTTCTGGCGAATGTGTCACGATTAACTGATCTGGCCAGCGTAAACCATTAGCGCAGGAGGGTGAACCATTCCATCATTAACCATTAAAAAAACTATAAATAATATTAAAATTTAATTTAATGTAATGTTGCATATGGTTTACTATCCTGAATTACACCAAAGAAATCGTGAATAATCTAATAAGATATAGTAATCTTGCTGATACAAAAAAACTATGTGTTTCAAAATGTATAAACGAATCCAAGAACATCAAACCAAAAATTACTTCTAGACGCAGCGGTATGCTTGCTCCATGCCACGTTTGCTTCTAATACACCGGGCTAATGTGGGCATGGCAAGTCGTGCCTATATGTTGTTTGTTGTATTTTTTTATTACACTAAAGCATGAAATATCATGTTTATGTAGGTACACTTAGCACAGTGTTTTAGTATTAATATGTGAAACCTCTATAGTCTAATGAATGTATGGCTTTAGTTAACTCTATAATTTAATATATACACAGTCTAGGTACATGACTTTTCAATAAATGGATGCTCTTAACAAAATTCTAGTTTCATTATCTAATGCCAAAAAATATCATATAACTGTTATAACATACAGTATTTAATTTGGTCGTAACAACATGACTGTCAATTCTAAATTTTACATGTTAATCTAAATTTATATTTAAACCGTTAAAATGATACTACATAAGAGGTATGTTATCATAGTCATGTGCCTGGGTAATCATCAAAAAAATGTTGACACTAAAAGAACAACAATTTAATTTCCCGCCAAATCTTTTCAAATAAATCTGCTAGCGAAATCTTACCTACGCTAAATATAAGAAAAAATAAAAATACGCTTAGAGCGTATATGAGTGAATATTTTTTAGTATTTGAATTTCGAACACCTGCGTAAACACCTGTCTTAATTTTTTAATTTGGAACACTTACCCAGGACCAGAAAACTGCATAGATAAACGATTGGACTGTCTCTGGAAGTGTTGTCCTGGATGCCCATGCCTTTCGGGCATCGGGTCAGGGGGTCGACCGTCAGCTAGAGGATGCACCTTCTGCATAATTCGACTGCTGTCATCTCGACATACCACTGCCGCCGACCAACGCTTCGTTTGATCTGATACCTTGAAATACAATATGATACACTTTGATAAGATTTAAAACTCAATTTCTATTGGTAAACAATTCATGTGAGTACCTACACACGATACACACGTACACGAGACGCACACGAGACTTTCTTAAGAATAGGATATAGGTGTACAAAAAAACGTTCTTCTATAAAAAAATTGTGCAAATAATACAACAATAGATGTTCCCAATGTAAAAATATACTAAAATTGTTTGCAGAACTTTATATGTGTCAATACACAGAAAACATAGTGTAATTGTAATAAGTGTATAACAGTGAACGCTACTTCGTAGATGAAAATAAGTAATAATAAATCTTGAAAGGTTTGAAAAAATACTCAGTTATTTCTATAGAGTGATACATAGAATTGTTTTAATATCTTAGTTTATCTTTCTTTTTTCGGTCAATATAAAATAAGAAAACGCACTGGTCTCTGTGATGGGAGGGTGTCTTGGTGCAGTGTGGGTTCGCTTCCCCGTCGGACCTGCAAGCCGTTGGCGCCGTCCTCGAGGTCTGCTGCTCCGACTTCCACACACGAGTCCGTGTTGGGTACCCGCATACTGCCGCCCACGCCACCACCACCCTAAGTGACAAAAAAACATTACAAAACAGATACTTATAGAAGTGGAAAGATCATACTTTGTAAATTGAGTTTGGGTTTGGACGTTATGTCCATGGAGATGCTGTATACACTTTCAGCAGACAGCTTGTGAGATATTAGGCAGCTGATATTATAGGTACAGATTATAAATAAAAAAAAAACTATTACCGTGCAGATATACATATAATATTATACTGTGAAAATATGATTAGTTATGAAATGCGGGCTTCGGGGCAGTAAACGAGTGACAGTGGGGTTATGTACCTACCTTATAATGTGTAATTCTATTAGCCTAGTTTAGCTTTAAATTGTTTAGATATATGTATGTCACAGTCTTTAGATATCTCGACAAAGCTACTATACTAATGCATTCACCATAATCGTATCAAATTGCCAGCACAACCATGTGTGCCATCTGCCAATTTTGAAATCTGATATCTAAAACATTCAACAAATATTAAAACAAAACTAATTGTATCCAATGTATATAGTACAAACTTTCTATACTCGTACATTTACAAACAAGTTACGTCTTGTAATATCTTTTATCTAAATCTAATTTCTAACTTAAAATTCAACGATATTAGGATATTATTTCAAGGAAAAGGATAATTTTTATAGATGCTACTGTAGTATTTATTTTATATAATTTAAAAATTACATACTTGCAATCATATAAATATCTAATTCAGAAGAGATAGAGATAGTATTATATAGTAGTAATACAACATATATTTGTATATTGCTTAGGTAATAATACTTTAAAAACTTACTTTTACTTTTTGCTCACCAAAACAATTGGAAGAACACAAACCCATTGTAAAACGATTAAATTTTGTTCTACGTCTCCTATGTAATAAAGACATAACTCTAAACAAAGTGTATCTTGAATGAAAACTAGCACACTTTTTATTGTACAAGTCACAACATGATTTTCTCGAATTCGAAATTTAAATAAATGCCGCGATTTTCACTTTTTTTTTAATTAGCGTACATAAGGGACTGTTTTCATACAGTTATAACCTTAAAACTTAATTATTACATTGATTAATTGAGTAGATTATTAAAAAAGATTTTACTACATCATATTTAGAGTAGAAATTAAACTGTTACTCGTACTGTAGGTAACTAAAAACTTGAATATTTGCTAGTAGTAAAACTGCAAATGAGAGGCACGGAAAGAGAGAATCTGGTAAGAAAAAATCTGAGGTTCCATGTTCATGTTACATAAAACAATATCATTTGATATTAATAATAATATTATATTGAATACCTTTTTCCTACAAAAATCCTCCGACAGAAACTTCAAGTTAAAGTAACCGTTAGTCTCGAATTAATAGTATGTATGATTATAAATATAGCTCGCGACATATGGACAATTGGCATAGTTTAGTAAAAATATTTTCCTTCCTGTTACACACATGTATATAGCGTTAATAAGAAAGCGATGAGATATTATCCATGAACTTTATATATTAATATAAAGTTCAAGGATGATAACTTTAATCAATGAAATATGCTTATATGACATTTTATTTAATAAATATATTATTATATAATTTTTTTAATGAATGGGGTTTGTATTACTTTTAATTAATAGGTTTTTTAAGCACGATAGAAAAACAGTTATAAGTTAGAGGTGACCTATTGCGTCTGTCTGTGGCATTGTAGCTCCTAGCCGATTATCGTGTGGTTTTTATTGTTTGAATGCTGATGAAAATGGTGCTAAGGTACAATTACCTATGTAGACTCAACGTCATCAGATGGTTTTACTTTTTTTTGTGTGGGGTGTTACGTAACTCTTTTAATTTATTACTAGTATCCTTGATTCATATTTAACACTTTTTTGATATATAATTTTATAATTTTACACTCACTCGAAACATATCGGGGGAGGCGGTCCCAGCTGATGACCCACTGGCGCCATCTGCCTGTGCTGCTCTTGGCTGCGGCGCTTGGTTGGTGCACTCCGCTGTTAGGGTCTCCCGATCGTCAGCCACGTCGTGCACTCGGTCATCGGGGTCCAGGATACCTCCAGAACTGGCGCGGAGTGCTCTTACACCTACCCATGTTTCAGGACCCTGAAAAGAAAACAAGAGATCTAAGTTATTAAACCTATTGAGATGTCCTGTTCTAGACTGTATTTTTGACATCGCTTTCTTATTAAATGTTTACTTTACGTAAACTATTGACTATTAAAAAGTAAACGATACGACATACGTAATTGTATGTGTACGTTTTAACAGTGGTTTAAGGTGGTAAAATTTTAAATTCCGACTAAACATTTTTATTTTCACACTAGTTGACGCACGCAATTTTCGTTTCGAGTCACATGTTCCTCCTTTTTGTATTCATTGTTATGTCTACGTACTGTGGAGGTCTGAAAGTTATCTCAAATGGTCTTCTCTTTCCATATTACATTTCATTTGATTCTTGCTGTCTAGCATTGTGATTACGGTACTGAATATGCATAAGGAATAAGCTATTGATACAGATCATAGTATACGAAAGAAGACGTGAAAGACACATTTGGTAATTCTAAATTATGAAACAAATTTAAAGTGTAAAATATTTCATTGCCTGCAACTGTTCGAAACGATTACATCAATCGCTTTAACGGGACTGAATACTGCAAATAAAATGATAAGTTGTACGACATAAGTAGGTACCTAACTGTAAGACAATGACCGAAAATATTACACATTGTTCGCTGCTTTAACGAATTTGAATGTGTTTCTTTTGATATGAGGGTTCTACAATCAGGAACAGAAAATACTCCCACGCTGTAGGTACGAGTGTTTGCGGATTCAATCTATTCATGTTAGTAGATGTTCCATGTTCATGTAGCGCTCTCTGGGTGTTTTGTCTGTCTGTTCTGTATTATTGTTCGACTGTCATCATCGTGGCATTCATTCACGACATTTAAAGTGATTTAAGCGCATATTTATCGTATGTACTTAAATAAAATTTAAAGCGGATATCGTTGTACTTGCAATTATGTAGACTAGGTAATACGTACACGAAGTAAAAATATTTTCTGTTCGCAACATTATGCGAATGATATCGCTACACTGCAACTAATTAATGCTAATTAGTTGCAGTGTAGCGATATCATTAAAAAAATCGTCTACCGCTGAATCTGTCTATCTCTTCTAATCATCTCATAAAATATGGTTATAATAGAAACACGGCACCAGCTTTTATCCAATCCCTAATAAGTTCAGGCAATTACATAGTATTCATGCAAAATAACAGATAACAAAATATTCAATACCCAAGTAACAGATCTCCGCTCTTTGGCCGCGGCCAAACGAGCTAGCTTCTTGAACCTGGGCGGTGGCACTGGCCTCTCCACCCCTGACTCTTGCATCATCCGCTGCCATTCGATATCATTCGAACGCGAATATTCACTTCATGTCACCTTCACAATATTTACTTTGGCACAGCACTGACGGTTACGCAAATAGGCACAAGATCGATTTCACTAACTTTGGACTCCAAAGCCGTGAAACGTGTTACCATCACTGACATTTCCCACACTATATAAATATATTATTGAAGGCAGATGTTGCATGAAACATCTACTGATCAAGAATGAGGCTAATTATTTAGAATCAGCAGCGGAGGTTCAGTGGCGCGGATGAGACCTTGACCTTCGCGCGTCACTGACTAAATACAGTTTTGTTGTTCAAATGCCCTGCACTGAATGCTACGCCCTATGTGATTCAGATTCATTTAAAACTACTTTTATCTGATATAAAGTAATAATACATATATTTGATAAAATGACTGTAATACAAGATATGTACAAAAGTACTGAACGTGAACAATTATATATAGTAAAAATTATATTTAAGTCTACAATCCTAGAATATAATTATAATTTAAGTAATGTAGGAAAAAGTATGTTTATTTCCAAAATATTATTAACACATTGACTGTGTAGGTCCATAATTTTAAAATAATTTCTTTGTTATCTATCTTCACAATAAACGCTGACAAAACGTGTAGCTAGCCAGTATGTAACAGCAAGGATTCTAAGAATTTGCTTAACATAACATGGTCAAGAACTCAAGACTGAGCACGCAATATTAATGTATACGATTAAACAAAAAGTTATGTTCACATTCATTCACATTATTAACACGCAGGTTTTGTTACGGTCCATCTAGATCTGCGCTAATAAAATATTATAGGCGATTTCTTGTTTACTTTTTTACTTATCTTATCGTTTCCATATTCAATATTTGGCCAATCATTATGGTGAATGTAAAATCAAGCTTGTCTATAGCTTATCAGGCGCCGGGACATAAATCGACTTTATGCGACTTTTGGGATTTGCCAGTGATCATTATAATATAATTTAAGTAATCATTGAAATGAACAATGAAATGAAACTATAGTGAATATGGAAAAGTAAAACGATGATTACAATACAAGTTTCAGTAGATTCAAGTTGAGTAAATCTTAAGTTGTTGTTGGCCAGATGTTGGCCGGTCTTGATATTCAAGCTCATTACCTCTAATCCTAACTATATAATTATATGTTTCAGAATCTTGGTACAAACAATCATATTCATGTATACAAATATTCGTGCCGTGCGAGGACTCGAACCCGCGACCATCGGAGGTAAGGCGGTGTGCAAGACCACCGAGGCCGCTAATAAATAATTAGTATGTGTTGAAATGTTTATTCATGAACTATTATCACTGTGTACCTACTAATTTGTCGATGTCCATAGACAGTTTAAGCCAACGGAAATGCAAGCCTATATGGTTTGTCGCGTGTGGCGAATAGCAAGTGGCCTACTTTACGTCAATGGGGATTTGATAAAACAATAACTAAAATTAAAACAGTATGAACAAACGGTGTTAAAGTTAGAAAGGTGAATAAACTTTAATAACTGCATTTAAACAATGACCACAGATAATAATGTTAATTTATATAAGCCACTTGATACAATTGGATCTTATCGTACCTATACAAAATATAATATAACAGGCACTGCTACATGTTGACAAAAAATGAAAAAACTGTGTGTGATATTATTTGTTTAATCTGCATATAGTTCGTATTACTTTAATCAATTGCTTTCTATTCGCCTTCCTTTAGATCAGAATTACTATGTAACACCAAGACCAGCGTAGTCTACCTATTCAGCAATATATGTAGACAAAGTAATTTTATTACACGTACACTTTTATACTTTTCAGCACGTAACTGAAAATAAATACCTGTCAGTCTGTAACTTAAGTTGTTGTCTTTCAATGACAATATATACCAAATATCCATAGATGTAATTTAAATTGTTTTCAATTTAAACATGGCTCGAGGTAACTCGCGAAATTGTTATGCAAATAGATGCCTATACGTCGTTGCACTCATCGTATACATCAATGCTTTTACCCGTTTAAGCAATAAATTGTTAGACTAACAGTCGCACCGTTAAAAACGTACACGCATTCATCATCTACATCTTACACAGAAAGTTTGTATTTATTAATACACGCTGAAGCTGACTACAGAAGCCATTCAGTTACATACTTTTATAGTATCTTTCATAATTTCATCAACAGTTATTTTGCAATGAAACAAAGTACAGCAGTTAAAAATGCATGTTGGAGCACATTGAAATTTAATATAATTTTTGATATAACTAACACTAGGATAATATTGGAACTGTCCAATTAAAGTTTAGAATTCAATAAGAAATTAAAGTATCACTTCATAACTATTTCTACAGCACACAGACACGCCACTGATAAAAAAAAACACTGCATTGCATAGGAGTTACGCGGTATTTGTAAAGAATAATGTTTGCGTTGGTGAAACGCATTCGCGCCACGCCACGGTACGAATTGAACTGAAGCCGGTACGATTAGAAAGATCTCACAACAGAAATAAAAGCAAAGAAACCGTCACTTCTTTCATTTATAAAAGAACTGCTTTAAATGTGTGCTTGAACGAGTATAATCATCATGAATAGAACCAATTTTTCTTATTTTGCAATCGTCAGTTACGACATTTACTGGTTTAAGATTCAATATGGATATTTTTTATAATAAAATCCTTTAAGGCAATTGTTGACAAATATTTACTTTACTTACATTTACTATAAGTTTTATTTTCTTATCCAAATTTCAATTTCAAAGTTAAACAACTTTAACCTACCTACTTGTATGTCTAAACTTTGGTACTAGTTATTAGTAGGTGTGTCTGTGACTAAACCTCTGATAAAATTATATATATACAACTAGTACCCATACTAATACAACAAATATATATAATAATACCTATGGTATAGTTATATCGTCATAGAAACTTTGGATTTGCATTTAATAAGCAATTTTTAATTTAAAATGTACATACACAAAATCAAGACAACATAAATAATAGAGAACTATACAAGACAAATAATAAAGGAATAGGGACATCTGGAGAGTGGATAGAATATGATAAACAAAAATGTGTGAAAATATAAACAGTATTGGTAGAGATACAATAAATGATAAAGATAAAGAACTTGGTAAATATTATGTCTAGTATTATTAAAATTATGTAGAAAATATACATACACATATTACACATATAGTATAACAAACTGTGGGCATTAATTACTTTCAAACATTTAATTCTTAGATTTTCACAAAATACAACATTAAAATAGATAGGTGATGAATTGCAACAAATAGTGAATCATCAATGAATAGACGAATACTTACGTGAAATTTGGTTACCGATCTAAGAAGTCACATCAATTTAATTGAGGTTAATCTACGTTTATTAAAATTCGATTATTAACTAACCTACTCGTAAATTATTTATTAATGCCCGTAGCATTATAGTCTAAATTATACACGTATAACTATATATAACAACATAAAAACATTACATAGAGCAACTATTTAGCGTAGATCATGGACGGATTTACCCCCGCGATTTCTATTTGATAAATACTAATTTGGACAATTTCCTTTACTTTATAACAGGTTCAACTGTGTAAATTATTTATGTTATGCTGTAACGTGATTCACCAAAATAAATTAATTTAGGCAATGTTTTAACCTCATACAACGGTATA